ATTCTTTTATGTACTCTTCTTAACCATTCTCTGGTTAAGGCAGTTACCATTATCTCCATTTTACAGCGGAGAAGAGTGAGGCCGAGGCCACGGTGTCCCAACTAATTAGATGCAAACTGGACATAAAGCCCATTGTTTGGATTCCAGTGCTAGTTTTGTTTATTCCAGTATACAAATTAATCTCATAATGAGGAGCAGAAGGGAAAGTGCCCATGATTTCCTAAAACACAGCCACAGTTCATCGCTGACTCTTGCCAACAAAACTTTTGTTTCTCAAATACTGAGCCCTTCCCCCTTTTAAAACCAATAACTACAAACAAAAATCATTCATTCAAACTGCTCTTTCTTCAACTGTGCTAGCTTCATGCATTTCTCTTTGCAAATCAGACTTTAAAGAAATTGCTTCTAATGGTTTTAGTCTACAGGCACAGCTCACTTTAAGAAAAACTGGTTTTATACAAAGATTTTAGCATGTCAAAGTTTATAAATTAAAAAGTGAAAAGTCCATAGATCTCATTTAAAAGACTTCTTTTGTCATAAAAAGACCCAGCACAGAATTCCTTTAAATAATGAAATCCACCTGGCACAGTTAAGGCAATTATTCAATTCAATGTGCAGGATTACCAGAACACAGAAAGCAGGGATGTCTGTAATGCATGGCCTGTTTCTCAATCTGAATGTAGAAGTTTTTAATTTTTTTTTTTTTTAAAGATTTTATTTTTTCCTTTTTCTCCCCAAAGCCCCCTGGTACATAGTTGTGTATTCTTCGTTGTGGGTTCTTCTAGTTGTGGCATGTGGGACGCTGCCTCAGCGTGGTCTGATGAGCAGTGCCATGTCCGCGCCCAGGATTCGAACTGACGAAACACTGGGCCGCCTGCAGCGGAGCGCGCGAACTTAACCACTCGGCCACGGGGCCAGCCCCTAGAAGTTTTTAATTTTACAAATCTGTAATGCATTTGCTGGATTACTGTCTTTGCTATATGCTCAATATATAATAAAGGAGGAATCTGCTTCTTTGCAGAATAATCAAATTGAGGACATTGCATTCTAACCACAAAGAAATGCAGATTTCCCCCTCATAGGCATTCTTCCTTTCAAAAAAGTTTGCTTAAATTGGTGCTTAAAAGATAATTCTAGCTTGCTAAATTTAGGGTGTGGAAAAAGTCCAAAAGGAGAATATTCCATGGGTAATTGTGCGAGAAATGTTAATATGTGTAGTAAGGGGAGGATGTCCTACACTCCTGATGCATCTCTCTCTTTCTTTCTCTCTTTCTCTTTGCCTCGACACACAACATATAATTTAGCGAGGTTAAAAGTTACCTGAAACAGTGAAGAACCCCTTTACCACCATCACTACATTTTAAATATAAAATGATTTCACATCTTAGTTATGTCTAAAACCACCCGAAGTCAGAGCTATTCTTCAAAATTTATCCGCAAGTTATCAGAAAATGCTTACTTCATATTCAAGGCAGATTTTTGGTCATTCTCAGTTCACTTGCAAAAAGAGAAGATAGCTGTAAAATTTAATTTAAAAAGTGTACTAGTATCTGAAGCTTGCCTTGAAATGCATTGAAAAATACAGTGATTATGGACAGATGGATAGATATGGGATAAAACAAATACAATCATGCACCACTTAACGACGGCTTGGTCCTGAGAAACGTGCTGTTAGGCAATTTCATCGTTATGTGAACATCATAGAGTGTACTTACACAAACCTAGATGGTATAGCCTACTATACATCTAGGCTATATGGTACTAATCTTATGGGACCACCATCATATATGCGGTCCAGTCGTTGGCCAAAATGTCCTTATGCGGTGCATGACAGTATAGCAAAATGTTCATTGTAGAATCCAAGAGGTTCACTTTACAACTCTTCAACCTGAAAAGGGTCAAGGAAGCAGGTCCCAAGGTTAGAGGAGACCTGCCCCTTAGCTCCCAGGAAGCATCCAGGAGATGGTCCCAGTGGAGGCAGCTGTGTGGAACCTGGATAAGCTGGGCCCTTGACACCTCAGCAAGCTGCCCCTACTCCACACTAGGCACCAAGGATGATGCAAGAGAACAGATAGCTCAGTGGTTAAGTAGTGTGTACAGAAGGATGGGGGAGAGGGTTGATCTGTATAAGACTCAGACTTGTGAATAATTCTGGGAGAAAGGCAAACACTGTAGATGTGGAGAGAGTTGGCAACTCGGTCAAAGGCAATTTAAAGGGAAGAAAACAATGCATTTCTGGAACGTTTGAGTTTGTGATGGAGATTCGTGCTTGCAACATAACATTGAAGACCATCACTAAGTTCTTGCCCCTTGGTCTTTATCCAGATTTAAAATACTCCAGTTTCTTTCTCATGGGAATTTTATAGCTTCTCTAGTTTTCTGCAGACGTAAAATCTGAGTGAAATAATCCAATAGAAATTTGGTCAGTACTGAGGAAGGCAGAGAGAATGACTTTCCGGCTGGGTATAGTTGTGCTGTTGCATTTTGGATTTGTTTGAATTTTTAGACTTATGCCCAAATTGACATGCACTATGGTTCCAAATCAATTTCTCCCACACTGAAGCAAACCTAGTTTTTCCTTCTTTTGGGTTTGGATTTATTGGCCTCTCTTATATCGCATTGTGTCTTTAATATATCAAAGTCACCATGGATTCTATTCCTGTCTTTGAGGATATTAGCCACCTTCTTGAGAGTTTATGAACATATATAATCTTAAACATTCGGAAACTCAGAGCTGGTCCCCGTGGTTGCTTACACAATCATTTGGATGTAAACTCTTAGTAATTGGTGTATATTTTGAACAATTCATGATAATTCTGGTCCATTAGGAGGACTCTGCAATGGCTTTGGTGCTCTCAATAATATTTGAGAGCAGGCTGGGGGAAGAAAAGAAGGGAAAAGTAAGGAAGAGGGGAAAAAGAAGGAATGAGAGAGAAGGGAAGATGGATAAGAAAAGTGTGCCAAGTTATGGCACTGGTGGAGAGGTGATAAAGACTATGAAGAGTGCTCAGGAGCCATCACAAATGTCTTCTTGTGCCTCCTGGTGCTGTTGTTTCTCTCTCATCTACAGAGCACAGCCCCTAGTTTATTGGTGAGACTGTCACATAGAGGCAGAATCAAGTGCCATGCAAAAGCACAAAGGTGACATCGGTCATGTCCTCCCTGTCTACACAGTCTGCCAGTTTATTGGAGAAGGAAACTAAATGGGCATGATGCTTTAAAAAATGGGATTGGCACTGGTAGCAATCCAATGCTGTTGATAGTCCAGGGCATAGTAAACAGCTTGAGTTTTTCCCCATGAATGGCTTTGTTGTACAAGCCTGCATGACTGGTCATCAGTTTGTCCTTCTTCCTCCAATTTGATCACATCTGTTGCTCTGAATCTGTGCATATGGCTTTAATAGAAGATTCATCTGTGAGTGATACAGTCAAGGGCACCCAAGATGTTATTCTGACACCCAGAGAGACCGACAAGGATGGTAGAAGGGGAGGCAGAGGTTGGGTTATGCTTATCAGGTAAAATATGGCAATATTGGGGAGGCATAAAAGGCCCTGGTGAGAATGGGAAAAGCCCCGGTGGGGCATGGGTGACTTAGAGTTCGGACAGAAGGACTGATGGGAGAGAAGGAGGAATGGGAAGCCACGATTCTTCAAGGCACTCATTCAAGGCACCCAATCTATTGAAGTCAGTGATTTTCAAATTCTGCTCTGAGTTTCTCACCCCCACTTATGGTGGATCCACGTAAGTTTTCTTTAAGAGAAGTAATCCACCGTAGAGTTAAAAAAAAAACACAACCCATTGGTTCTAGAAAATGGCAAGCACACAACTCATTTGACAGTTATCTGGGTTTTTTGTCTTCCCAGACTGCATCAACCCACGAGCTGATAAATAGCACCTGCTATTTTGGGTGTCTTCATGGGAAGCAATCTGCCTCCAAAGCTATATGGGGCAATGAAGCCAATGATGAACTTAGATCTGTATGATCTGAGTCGGTGCCTTGGTCCAGACGTTTATTATCTGTGTATCTACCGTTAAGCCATTTTTTTGCTTCTCTCGACCCTCTTTTCTAATCCCAGACTCAGAGTGGTATATACAGAAAGGAAAGCAAACTGTATCTGTGAAAGAACTTGGTGGTAAGTGTTCACTATCTCTCAATGGATCGAACATATTTTCTTGCCATAGATTAGATCCTTAAAGTTGGAATCCTGGTATGTACGATTATCACCCAGCTTCCTTCAGTTTTTTACTCTTTGAAACATACTAAGGGACAAATTCTTCAGTAAAAGGAATAGTACGAAGAACACTGTAGTTGCCTATGAATATTTTATGCACAGAGGAAAAAAGCATTGGCTTAGCTCCCAAATGATGCCCAGATCTTTTAAAAGTACTATCTAAAGAAACGTCAGGATTCGCACTTCACCATAAAATGTCAGGTTCCTGGCACCACACAGGACTATCCCCCTCAGCCTTTCCCCACCTTCACTTCATACTGAATTGTCTACTCCCTGGCACCCGACAGGCCGGTGAATCCTTGAATGTTTTTGTCCGTGTTACTGTCCCAAGACACAGCTCAGGTATCATCTCACTGGAGGCATCCTTGTTGTCGTCACTTCCACACCAGTTGAGCTAAGGGTCTCTCTGCCATACAAGCTTGTGCCCCCAAAATGACAGTGTGTTTACCTTTTCCCAAGGCAAGGCCACCCTGCCTCTCAGCGCCTGGCACAGTGGCTGGCCCAGGTGGAGGGGGAGCGGGGAGTCACTCCAGGAACGCTGCCTTGAGTAACTAGACCACACCAACGACTACAAATCTGGGACTTGTGACTATTTAACTTGTGATCAGCTGGTGCCAATTCACATCTATCAGCTAAAAAATACCGTTTTCCCTTCTCAACGTGCTGTAGTACATTCCACCTAGGTGTACAGAAGCAGTGAAATACAAGGCATTTTTACCCCGTCATTTTGACTTCAAGACGATGCTATTCAAGTTTGCATACAGAGATCTTAGAGCCAACATTTTAATGAGAATATGCCAACGCTGATGAATTTTCCTTAAGAGGAAGGGAGATGGGGAGGTAGGAACATGTAGATGTTGAAGCCTACCTGTGGACCACCTGCCTTCCCCACCTCATCCCAGTCATGCATCCACCATATGGTCACAGCAGGAGCTGGAGGGAGGGCTCCTCGTTTTGCTTAGGAAACGCATTTTATTCCCTACACTAAAGCAAGCTGGCAGTACAAGAGGAAGCAGCAGTGCCCCTGATAAAGAAAAGACCAGGCATTGTACGGCTGGCAGCAGCAAGGGGTACAGGCTTTGAGGGGTAGCAGGAGTTATCCCTCAGAGAGTGAAGGAGGAGGTGGTGTCAAGAAGAGGTGCACCCCTAGGCAAAGGACCCCACCGAGACAGGTGCTGACAACTTCACCAGGACCATTAGGTGCCCCAGCTGCACCTCAGGTCTGTCCAGCATGAGTACCAACTGTGATGTCAGCCTCCATGGCACAATTGCAGGGGTGGGAGGGCACCACACCTCCCTGTTAAGCCTGGCTCCTCTGGGTGCACGGGCATCTCTTGTATGTCTGTGACCCACCACTACACTATACTTTGCTCAACAAATGCTCCTCCTGTGCACAGCACCTAGGGCTTGCCCCTGGGATGACCACTGGCACTGCCCTCTTCCACGGAGCAGGGGGCAACCACAGCCCAGACGCTCAGTGCTTATGATGGCCAGGAAAATTGTTCCCGGTGCTCTCAATCCACTTTGCATACCCATCGATTCAGCAGCCCCTTGGGACATTGACAGAGCAAAGCTGGAGGACATGGGTGCAAGATCTGAGTGCACATACGGGCAAAAAATGTTAACAATGCAACACTTCCAGATGTGGCTTAGGAAGGTAGCACGTGTTAGTGATTGTCAGCTAGTATGTAAGAAAAAAATATGAGGGAAAAGATAGCAAGCCTCTGTGGTAGCAACCTGGACCTTCAGTTATGTTAAGAGCACAATTGCTTGAATTACAAGTAGAATTCTATTAACTTCAAGTCTCAGTTAATGGAATGCTGTGGTGGCATACACCAGCTTCCCTTAAAAATATTCTAGAAATCAGATGAATGAGCCTGGCTTAGTCCAGTCTTAGAATACACTGATGTTAGTCTTACCCCATGTTTTACAAGCAATAATCTAATACCAACTTTTCATTTTAGAGATTAGGAACTTTTGTGTGTGTTTGATCTGAGTATGGGGAAGTCGGGAGAGGCAGTTAGAGAACTTTGTTCCCTTTCTTGGCAGAAAAGGGCAGCAGACATGGGCCACAACCAGAGGCAAAGATTAGAGAAACTTGTTATTAAATTTAATTTTCTTAAATACATACCTTTCTCCCACCCTCACCCACTCCAGGGAGGAACGGAAAACCCCCACCCCCTCCACCCAGGGGATCATGTGTATAAAGCCTGAGATGGTGAGGATGCAGTATAAAAATACTATTTACAAAGGGGAAGAAGGTATCTGTTGCTACCTTAACCTTCAGACACCCCCATCCCCAGGCCCCTTTTGCTCCTGGGTATCCACTTGAGTGTAGAACAAGCCCTTCCTCTAGGGGGGCTCTCAAACCCCAACATGGAGTAGGAAGCTCTGAGATTAGCTGAGGAAGACAGGGAATGGATAAGCACCTCAGATCCTAGCAGGGGGAGGGGATCTGCCCTCTATCACCCCGTAGTCAGCAGGCCGGCCGGCCAGCCTTTGTTTCGATAGGTCCCATGTAAACATTGACTTTCCTTTTATATGTCCCTGTTCCTCCTGATTTCCTACCCGGCCTCCCTCACTTCCACTGGAGGCACTTGGTTCCTCCATCTTTCCTTCTTTCCCTTCTAACTTTCTTACGGAAGGAGTGGGGAGGGGAGGGGAGGTCACGGGTGGGGCAGAGCCCATCTCATCCCCTCTTTTAGGTCAGGGCAGCTTGTCCTCACAAGGGGAACTCTCAAGAGGTGTACTCCAAGTTCTTGGCCAGATAGAGGTGGCTTTCTTTCCCCAGAGCAGGGACAAGGCAGGTAGATAGTCCAGTACCAGGATACAGTGGTTTTGAAGGGCAATGCCATCAGTACTGAGTAGCAGGGAAGAAGACTTAGGAGGCAGAAAGGTGGGGCAAGACAGTCTCACCCTGATGGTGGGAGACCAGCCCTGCACTACCTCCCCTTCAGGTGAGCATGACCGTCACCACCCAACAGTCTTGTTCACTGCAGCTATGCAGAGGGACCAGGCATCCATGAGGCAAGAGGTCTTCTGCAGGCCTTGGTGTAGAGACAGCACTCACACCAGCTCATCCAATAGGATCCCGATGCTCTGAGCGGCCTCTGAGGGACCAGCAATGGGCTTGTTACACATAGGGCAGACACAGCGTACTTCCAGCCACTTCACCAGACATCTGCGGGCAAAAGAAGACCTGTTTTTCCCCTAAGAAGATTCCCCAACCTGCTCCAGCTGTCTCTCATTCATAGAGCCCAGCTGCTTCTCAAAACAAGAACATCCCTATCCTTGCCCCCATCTAACCCCTCTGGCTTGCTTGGTGTCTGGACAGGATGCAGGGCATTGCTGGCAAGGGGTAGATGGGAGGGGGTAGGGATTTGGAAGTTCTAGAAGATGCTCCCTGCTTATTGCTTTCAAAAGGCACCCCTGGATACACATCCCCAGTGTGGACACTTACTTCCGGTGAAAGGCATGTTGGCATGGGAGCACACCTAGCTCGTCCTTCCCCTTGAAGTCTTCCAGACAGACTGCACAGGTCTGCTGTGGAAAGAAAGGGGGCAGTGTGAGAGGAGATGGGGAAGACTCTCCTTCACTCACGCCGAAAGCCATTATCTCCTCCCTATCCAAGAAAAATAACTCTAGCACAATCTCCTTAACAGCCAGAGAAACTTGAGTCATTTCATAAAACTACACTGACAGCATGGTAGCCATTAACCACGTGACTGTTTTAAAGGTAAACTGACCATAATAAGAAGAAATTAAATTTACTTCCTCAATGGCACTAGCCACAATTCAAGTGCTCAGTAGGCACATGTGGCTAGTGGCTTCCATAATGGACAGGGCAGATAGAGAACATTTCTGTCGTCACAGAAATTTCCACTGGGCAGTGTTGTTCTAAAAGAATGTTTTTTAATCCTTTCTATCCTAGAACATTTGGCAAGGGGGCATTTATCAGTAACTAGAGGTAAGGATAGCGGTATGGTATATAGTTTACTTTCTTTAAATCCAGCTCTGCGTCCCTCTATAGTAATCCCCTCTATCTCAGCTGGATTACTCTTCCAGAGCAGGGCTTAGGAAACATCTGAACTTGTGGAGATGTAATAGCGGACATCAAAAAGAGGCGAAATGAGGCCATGTCTAGGCAGTCTCATGTCTAGCGATACCTGTGCTCCTCAGGCATGCAGACAACCACAAGCACATTGTGCAAGACAGTCATCTGTGGTTACGGAAGGAAGCCTTGGGAAATGAGTTAGGTGACCTCAAAGGCACAGGTGGGGAAGCAAGAGGAAATGGCCTATTCCTAAAGAGTCAGTGTTGAAGGGACCCAAGGAGTCGGGGTTGGGGTGAGGGTTAGGGGGGAACAGAGAAGACCCACAGCGATGGAGACACGAGTTAGTCCCATAGTCTGCTAGGATAGTGTACATTCAAGGGTAACTTCTTTAGTGAAAAACCAAGACATGGGGTCTGAAATGGGGAAAGTTAGCTGAAATCTGCATGGAGTGGTATGACCATCCTCCTCTTAAATCTTATGCCTAGCAGGCTTCCTGGGGCCCTGTGTCACCACTTACTCAAACACTTCCATGATCCTGTTTTCTGCCTGAGCTGGTTCCAGACACAATGAATTCTACACATTGATCACCTGCTGGGACAAGTCCTTTTATTTGGCTCAAGGAGATACGAAGCAGGGACTTAAAAGGTTCCTGAAAGGGTCCAGGCTAAGAGCTAGAGAAGGTGGCACTTGCCCTACCCCGCTGGGGCCCTCCCACGTGCTGCCCCAGACACTCACCCCATATAACTGTAACTTCTTAGCATCACCTTTAAGCACCACCTGGGAAGAAAGAAGGAGGCATGGTGTCAGAAGGAACCAACCACAGGGGCTAGGTGGTATCAACCAATGAAGGGATCCCCAGTCCTGCACAGGAGTCCCTCCCTCTCCCTCCAGTGATGGGCAGGGCTTTGGGCACTGCCTGGCTCAAGGCAGACTTGAGGACGTGAAAGGAGTTAGCCTCAGACAGGGCCAGAGGTGAAGCCAAGGGGGATGCCAGGCCAGGCCAGCTGACGCTTGCTTGCCATCCTTTCCTTTCTTGCAGGGCAAGTGGAAGAGGAGGAAGTCTCAGGGAAAGACGTGACAATTTACCTCCTTATATCCGTATCGTTCACTCTGTGCCTGGTTCCGGAGCTTGCTGGGGGAGAAAGAAAAAGGGGAGAGAAGAGGTTACTGTGCTTCTGTACAAACAGAGCCATTCAAAGTAGGAAAGGCAGGCAGGCTGGCTGCTTGGGGATTCTTCTGGGGGTGGGGAGGGGTGCTCCCACAGGGATGTCTTGCCCTGGATGCTATGGGGTATGGTTTGGACCTATGCAGGACACCCAGAGTGGATTAAGGACTCAGACTCTTACTCAGGCTCAACCACCTCAAAACTTACTGCCAGGTCCCACGGATTGGGGAATTCAGTGGCAGAGCACCCCGAATAGTTCATTCACTCACCCTGCCATTTCCCAGAAGGTAAATTCCTACAGGCTCCCAATCTACACAGATCGACAGTTGCTTACTGAGCGTACAGAAGAAGTTAGATATTCTTAAAAGGGATACACCATTAAGTCAGGGTAGCAGGATAACTAAGTCTCTGTTGAACCCGGGGAATTTTCCACCCAGAGAACACAAGTATTCTAGAAGCAAAGCACACTCTTCCCTTCACACTGCCAGGCAAGCACAGACGATCCCTTTTTTGTTTTCTTCTTTTCGTTTCAAGCCGGTGGCCTGCATACAGCCTAACTCTCAATAGCCGAAACATGGCATGTTGTTACTAATGGCAACAGTTATTGAGGACTCGCTATGCATGGACCCCCGCACTAATGTACTCACATACGTTCTCATCGATCCCAAACACTGCTAAGAGGGAGATACTCTCCTTTTCACAGAGGAGGAAAATGAAGTCCAAAGAAGTTAAGTAACCTGCCCAAACGTCAGAGCCAGTTGGCAGCAGAGTCTGGATTTGAATCAAAGTCTATCTTATTATAGAGCCTGAGCTCTTTAACACACAATGTGGCTTGCTTCACCAATTAGGTAGAACTAACATCATGGTCCTGAGAATATGACCTGGTCTTGGGAAACACCCTTTCAATCAGCAACTGCAACTCTCTGAATGGCTTGCTATGCAAATGGCTGGGACCACATATGCATACGCATATATAGCTGTCTTATTTTCAGTGAAGTGAAACCTTCTGAATTCTGCAGGCAGCTCTATGGCGTCGCATATGCAGAAGCCGGATGGGGCTTTCTCTCTCACTGACCATTCTATCACAGGTCTGGGATATTGGCCTGAGTACCAAATCCAGCTAACCACTTGTTTTATAGGGCCTGTAAGCTAAGAATGGCTTCTATTCTTAGATGGTTGAAAGCAGAAATCAAAGGACTATTTCATATTATGTGAAAATTACGTGAAACTCAACTTTCAGTGTCCATAAAACTTTATTGAAATACAGCCATGCTCACAGTTTACATATTGTCTACAGCTGCTTTTGCACAGTAGGGGTGGGTAGTTGAGATAGAGATCGTACGACCGCAAAGCCTAAAGTATCTTGCAGCAAAAGATTGCTGACCTGAGTTAGAGGGGGAAAGTCTCACATCATAAGCCTCAACCAAAGGGAGTGAGATAAGACGCTCCATGGGCATCACAGAGAAGCAGAAACTGCCACCAGAGTGGTAGAAGATGCAGAAGGTGGGGCAGAGCCATGCCCAAAGCACACCCAGGGAGCAGATAAGAAAGATAAGTCTGCCAGCCACCTCCATCGTTCCTAACAGGAAGTCAGGGGACCTGGCAAGGCCATCTATGCCCGGAGCCTCCTAGGAACTCCGGTCCAAGTGGACTCCTGCCATGAGGTTGAGGCCTGGACAGCACATCCACTGGTCCCCTTCCTCTTCCCTCATTGGAGGGTTTCTGGTCACTGGAGGGTTGGACTAAAGGCCTAACCAGGGCTCCCACTGTCCCATCCTTAACATGGCACGTTCATAAATACACACACATCTCTGTCCCCACTTTCAAATGAGGGGGGCAGGGAAGGATGCATCCAAAGCTTAAATGAACAACTGTTACCTGACGGACATGGAGTTAAGCTGGGGAAGGAAGAAAGTGTTCTTATTGCTCACAGCTGCCTTCTGAGGGTGACGCTGTTGCTGTTACCAGTATGTACAGAGTAAACAAGGAAGTGGTGAGGAGCCCACTTCTTAACTCAGAGAATGAGCGGATGCCACGCATCTTTTGAGCATCAACTGCCTCACCTGCAAGGCGGCTATAACTACATAGTGTGTACAGCACCTTTCTGCTTGCTGTCTAGGATGCCAGGGGTGCCCTCCTTCCCCACCCTCATCCTTTTTGTCTGCCTGGCTCCCTTTAATGGTCTTACCCCAGGATCCTCCAGAAGCTTCACTCTCAGAGCCCAGGACTATGGGGACAGTGAAGTGCTTTAGGGCTGCACCTTCACCCTGCATGTAGATTTCCAGATCAGGAAAGTATACATTCTGAAGAAATGCAGCCAAAAAGGTTGCAAGGGAAACAAAGCAAAAAGCAAGGACCCTGGGCCATCCCAGCAGGGGAGGTAGTGCCAACAACTCCGGACAGGTGGCCTTCTCAGCTGTTGGGTGAGCAAAGCAACTAAAAATATCCTGATTTCAATGAGACCATTTCTAGCCACTGCCAGCGGGCTCTCCCTTACTTCTTTTCCCTTTTGGAACAAACAATGCAGCCAGGTCCTGAAAATAATTGTTCCTTTCCTGCCTATTTGTACTTCCCTGGCCCCTCCATCCTGTGTGGGGCAGAGGTCGCCTGTTGGGGGTTGGGGGAGAATGAGCGAGGGGCAGCTGGGGAGTGGAGGCTGGCCTTGGCTGATGAGCTCACGAGGTCAGGAGTGGGGGCCGGTCATGGGCCTATTTTGGCTGAGGAGGAAACCAAGAAGCAGGGAGAGGAAGTGGCTTCTGTGCTTGTGTGTCTTTCTATATATAGACACTCACAGGCTGCCACACACCAGCGAGCCTCTGGAACCATGAAACTCCAGGGTCGACAGGCTTTGGGCAGGCTGCAGAACAGAGGGCAGGGTGGTGAGGGAGCAGGCTACTGCAGAAGGGACAGGTGGTGCCGAGCAGCCCCACCGTGGGGAAGGCTTTTGGCATCATGTGGTTCCCGCTCTGCTCTTCTACTCTGGCCGAACGAAAATAAATCAGCCAGCCTGTCTTTCTGCGGGACCCCAATGTCTAACTGCAAGGGGGTGGCCACAGATGCCACAGCTGCTCCTCCACTTCCCGTTCATGGAATAAGAATCAGAGAAGGCAAATGTATGGAATCTGATAGACTAGCTAATTGTCACCAGACTAGCCCACCTCTCTCTCTTCCTTGATGTATGACCTTGGGCAAATCCTTTAACTGCCTGAGCATGAAGTTCCTCATTTATAAAGTGGCTTAAGCCCGAAATGGGAGGGATGTTCTGAGCACTAAGTGAGTTAAATGTTTTACAAAATGCTGACCTCAACGCCTGGCACACAGAGGCACTTGGTAAGAGTAGCTAAAAACTAAAGATTACACGTATTAGTGGCAGATTTAGGAAATGAACCCTGGTCACCCACTTATGGGCCCAGAATGATTTTCTAGATTTTCTTCACTTGACCCCCTTTGCAGATCGGCATGTGTGCCTGTGCATGTGTGTTCCTGAGCGTGTGTGCCTGTGTGTGTGTGTGCATGTGTGTGTGACAGGACCAAATAGAGTTGGTTTTACAGACTCCTCCCAGCATCACACATAAATCTTTGGTATTTGGTGTGTCTCTATCTTCTGTCTCTGGGAACTGCATAAATTGCTTGAGATGGGGAAATGGGGGCGGTTGGTGGTAGAAGAACCTGAGTTTGAGGAAGAAAACTTAGGCTTGGGGAAGGGGTGCAGGGACACCAGAAATCTACCCTCACCCCTACTTAATATAGATGCAAATTTTAGACTCCACCGTACAAGAGGGAAAAATCAACTACTATCTTCTCTGCAGATTTTTAAGTGGAAATTTCAGTCCTAGGGATTTTTCAAAGTTCTGAAAAAGAAGAGGCCCAAGGCAGTGGCTGGGAGCAGTGGGGAGCAGGGCCTGAGGGCACTTCCTCTTTTTAGAGGGAGTCTTCCAGCCTCAGGAATATGGACAATTGTCTGCCTTCCCTCCGGCCTCCTTCCAGGTGAAGCACTCACACTGACCAGGACATCTCTGTAGGCAGCCAGAACTTCTTTTTCTTTCATCTTCATTTACTTTTCTTAAATGATTTGATCAGACACTAGCCTAGACCCTAGCTGACGTCTACTCAGGCACCAGGTAATATGTGTATGGTGCGGGCTTGGTCATCACGGTGGCTCTAGGGACCACTATATGTTCCACTGGTCAGGAATGCTCAACACTCCCCAACATCCAGGACAGACCCATGCAATGAGGAATTGTTAATACCAACAGCGCACCCAAGTCAGAAACACTACCCTAAAGACCAGTCCTGTCCCAAATTTTTGGCAGAAAACAGCACCAGCTCCCATGTCTTTCAACAGGAAGTGAAGAAACAGTTCCTGGAGCTTGGCTGGCCCTGCCAAACTCAAGTCCTTCCCTGGATTCCTACACAGTAAGAATAAGTGATGTTTTTAGACTTTTCATTCTCAAAAATAAGAACTTACAAGGCAGAGTAAACAAGCAGCTCTCCAGATAACAGTTTGCTAATATTAGTATCTGGCAGGCTGACAAAAGGATTTCCCAGAAGGGCAGAAGAACATGCCCCTCACGTAACTGATGCCCATCTATCCCTGGCCACCCAGAGGCGTGAGTGGGGAGTAGAGATGGTTACGGGACAACCAGTGATATTATTTGGTCAGACGGTAATTCTAGGCAACCTCAGAATACTGGCCAAGGAGTAGGATGTAGCTCAACCCATGGTGACCTTATATGCTCTGGGACAACTTGATAGGCTGATGTAAATAGAAACACCAGGCCTCAGGGGCCCAGGGAAGGGCAGGCTAAGCCCTGTGCCCCAGTGGGAGGCTAGTGACCCTGCTGTGGGAGCCTCACACGGCTCACTCTACCTGTGGCCTGCCCCTTCCTGACTCCCAATCCCAGCTCAGCCAGTGAGCCACCCACCTGATAAAATAGCAGCAAAAGATGAGGCTGAGCATGAAGATAAAGATGCCTGTGCCAAAGATGACCATGTAGATGTTGAGAGGAAGGTCTTGGAAACTGATGGGTGGCATTGAGCAGGACTTGTTGGTACTAACCAGTCCCAGGCCGCAGAAACACCCTGCAAAGAAAGGGGAAGGAAAAATTACATTACGGGTGGAAATTTACCACTGGAGCTGATGGTACCCTGTGGCAGCAAGGATGTAGGGAGAAACGGCAAGTTCTGGGCTCCTAAACTAAACTAGATCCAGGATCCAGGCAATGGGCAGAAAATGGAAAACTCAATTCCATCAGGTAGAAGCCCATATAGTGTAGTAGCAAAATGAAGAGGCTGAGGTGAGTAAAAGTATATTTGTGTTCCAACTCCTCCTCTCCCTGGCTATGTGACCTTTAAGAAATTACCAATCTAAGCCTCACTTTGCGTATGAAAACAAGCAAAACACAGAGACCACTGAAAATGATGGTGTAAGAAACATGCTTTGTAAATTGCAAAGTGGAGTTGCAAAGGTCATTTGTCATTATTAAGCCACCTGCTCAGAAGAAAAGCTGCACTAGGACCAGAATAGAAATTGTTCACTCCAAGGCTGGGCCAGCATTCCAGAGAGTGGCAGGGGAGCTGGGGGGAAGGGCAGCTGCAGCTTACTTTTACTGGCCACCTTCCCTCTTTCTACTCAAAGCCTGGACTACGTGCAGTCCCACAGTGGCAGTGGCATCTCCTGGAACTTGTTAGAAATGCAGAATCTCAGGCCCACCCCTGATGAAAATGAATCAGAATACACATTTTAACAAGGTCCTCAGCAGATTCCTAAGCATTCAGCGTGGGAAGCACTGGCTAGCTACTAGATGCTTTCCTTTCTCACATGAATCAGGGCTTGATCCTGATTGGCCTACCATTCGGGGTAGTCACCTTCCCCTTGCCAGGGTTTGGCATTGAGAAAGGTATGTGACAGGGTTATGGCCAAAGAAACAAAGAGAAGATCTGCAGGAAAAGGAAAGACTTTTCTTTTTTTGTTACATCTCCCTGAAACACCTGGAATGGTGGCAGCCAAGTTTTAGCTGGAAAGAGAGCAGTTCAATATAAAGCCAATGGCTGAGGGTGGCAGAGGGGCCATGGAGAGAGGCGGAAAGAGGAGAGAATATTCCAGTTGAGTTGCTGGATTAACTAATCCTGGAGGCACTCTCCATTTTGGGATTACTAGTTCTAAGACTTAGTAAATTTTCTGTAATGTTTAACAATAAAGAAACAAAAGGATATAAACAATAAACCAGTTGAGTGTTTTTTCCTGCTTGCAGGGAAAAATATGATAGTGACTCAAAAGTAAGCATAAAACTCTTGGACTACAGAAAGTGGTGAGACGAGAAAACTAGAATTTACCATATACCTGCTACATCTCAAGCACATTCTCATGCTACCAATTCAATCTTTGTAATGCCACAGTAAAACGGCTCTTCTCCCACCAATGGGAAGACAGGCTCAATCATTAAATAACCCATCTGCAGTCAAACAGCTAAGGCCTGGCTCCAAAGGACTCTGTATTCAAGGCTTCAGCAGCATGGGTTTTAGGCAGTTTCCTGACATCTTGGTTAGGAGCCAGAACCCATTAACGTACTTCGGAATTCTATGTTATAATTCCCAATGCTACCACAACTCAGCAGAAGACTGGGAGTCATCTTTGACAATGTACATCTCATTCCTCTTCATCCCCCAGATCAATCCAGTGGCCGTATAATGAGCCTCCCTCCAAACCTGTTTCAGATTTGGTGCCCAATTCTATTGCCAAGTCCCTATTTCAAACAGATTTTGGGCCCAATTCTATTCCAAGTCCCTATTGCAGACACCTAATTGATATCTGATCCCTCCTCTAATTTAGCCCACATGTCTGACATATCCTCCCACTTGGTTTCCAGGATCTGTTTCCCAAACTCATGACTGGCCTCAAGTCCTCTGAAATAGGCATGAACTGGGTCCCCTCTCTCAACCTCCCCTGCTCAATGTCCTCCTGCATCACCCCATGTGGACCAGTCTCCTCACTATGTCTTGCCCAACCTTGTCCTCACCTGTCTGTCACCTCTGTTCATGCAGCTTTACCTGCCTGGAACTCTCTCCCTTCCCCATCTCCACCAAGCCTGGTTTTGTGATAACCCAGTGACCTCTTTCTTCCTTGAATTCTATAGTGCTCACAGCCTATACCACATATTCTGGCTCTTGCATAGTCAGCAACTGTCTTACACGGCCTAGGTGTTCCTAGCATTAACTTCATTTAACTCAAACATGCATTAAGCACTGATTATATGACAAGTGCCAAAAGAGACACTGAACACTGCAGATAAAAAAAGCAAAGAAGAATGACTGGCTGATTTTGCCATCTAGAGAAGGCAGACACAAAGGTTTCACCATCTTGAGTGAGGCAGCATAGCAGAGGTGTGACTATAATCCTGAGATCAGAGATGAGAGCCCTAACAAGCCTGAATGCCCCTCAGTCTAAGGACAGCAACTTGGACTTTTCTATATGCTCCAGTGCCTTGCCTAGTATTTGGCTTGTTTTTGATAACTAGTTAACAGATAACTGGTTTTCTCCACACAACCTGATACCCTTGGCAAAGTAAGGAAACTGATGTCGGGGAAAATTGCCTAAAACTGTCCTTGGCTAACGGATGACCAGTCAACTAACGACTGTTGTTGAGGGCCTGACTTATGCACTGACCTAGACATTGTCGGGAAAGAAAAAGTGAAAGTAGCAGTTCTTGTCCTGAAAGACTTTTTGATTAAGTTGAAAAAAATTAAATAACTAGCTACTAAACTTTGCTATGCCTAACAGGAAGCCCTGGCTTCTAGGCTCCAGCAGGGATTAGAAAAAAAGTTTTTACCACCTCTCCACCCTCCGCTCAAATATTTGCTCTCCGTAGGCCAAAGGGGATCAATTTTCCATGAAGACATCATGGTGGCCTGGCTAGAGAGGAACAACTTCCAGTCTGCTCTGGAAAAGGGCCTCATGACTCCCTTCCAGGAACTGTGTCAATGCCTGGGAGGTCTTCCTCCCCACCAGGCACATCTCCCCAACCCCTGCCTCAGCAATATTTGATGCTCCAAGAGGGTCGAACCCCCAAACTGCCTTGGCTCTCCATGCACCTTTCATGAGCTGGAGCCTGGTATCTTCAGGGTCCCAAAGAACCTCATTTGGTTTCCTGTTCTGAGATGTCGCAGAGCAGTGACAGTGGGTTTGCAGAGGGTATGTGCACGCATTCTGCAGGCACTATGGCCTCAGCAGTCCTCTGATCAGTTTATCCTGTCCATCTTATCTTGTCTGATAGACGCTTTCCCTGGGGCTCCAGGATAGAGCCAATGAACTTGGGACTTTATGGGATAAAGAAGTGGGAATGAGAGGAGTTTCATAGCCACGAGGAGATGGTCTATTTGCTTGTATTACAATTAAAAAGACATGGCAAAATATATTGGCTAAAAACTGAAAGTGGAGTCGTTCTTCCTCTAAAACTTACAAGGACAGAATACCAACCCCAGGAAAGGGGGGCTCCAGATATTCTTCAGAAAGGGGTGGGGGAGGGATTGCTTCCTCATTTGGAGTCAAGGAACAGGATCTCTTAGTGGCTTTAAGTAGTGAAAACATAAAGCAGCAAGTCCTCTGCTAGTCTAAAAACCTCATGAAAGAGGGCTGCCCAGAAGAAAGGCCAGTGTTTCTGACAGCGGCCTCGGTTCTTCTCCTGAAGTCTCTGTTCCATTGTCTCAGCCGACCTATGAGAGCCTTGACATCAGAACGTCTCCTCTCCGTGAGCCGGCTGGGAGCAGGAATGACGTCAAGAGAAGGGCTGGCCAAAAAAGACCAGTGGATCTGGGAAACGCTTCTCTTTCCCAGTCAACGGGAATCTCTCCCAGATGCTGGGATGCACGGTCCTTCCTCACCCTCCATCCTCCTCCCCCTCCCGCAATGCGGGGCTATCACACACAGCTTGGTTCATTTTCAGGAAATTAGATCCTACCAGCCAAGAGGAAGAGGGGGGGTGGAGGACACTTCATACACATGCTGCCCAAACTCTGCCTTAAAACAAAAGCCTCTTGAAATAATTAATCCAAGATCTGGCAGGAGTCTGCTCTCAAGAATGGATTCTCCCCCCACCCCCAACAGCCAGCCTGCCATACTCGAAGATAAGGCCAGCTGCTTCCCTCCCCCCACCCTCTTCTCCAGAAACTCTCCAGGCGTTAGAACTATGCGGTCAAGACCGTAGAGCCATTGGACGGTCTCAGTACCCAAAGTTTTAAACTGACCAACTCAGAAAGGCACTCCTTTCAGGTAGCCTGGGTGAGGAATCAGACCCAAACCCAACCTGTGTCACCTGAACCGCCAAAAAGCCTCAGGTGAGATGAATTTGGCATCACCCAGGCCGGAGGGAGGGGAGGGAATGGGGTGGGAGTGGTGAATGGGTCTGGAGGTGCTGCTACCACCGACCTCGGGAGCTAGTACTGTAGTCTGGTCTTGGGGTCAGAAAGCACAGCCCCCGCCAGGCGAGCCCTGCACCCAAGGGGAGCCGGGCGCAGAGATATCTGCAAGGCTTTATCAGTTTAATAAAGCCACGCTCTTTAATCCGGCGTCTTCGACAGGCACAAAGCCCCCTAACAGTCAGCACGAAGGCAACAAAGACGCGGGGACGGCGCCCCCACGCCCCGTCCCGTACGCTGCATTGTATACATATTTAAAATAGCCTGCAAAGTTTCAGGCCGGGAACTTGAGCTCCCTCTAGGAGATCCCAGCCCGAGCGCGGATTTAATTCTCCTCCGACAACCACAACAAAGAGCAGAGTTTGAGCGCACAAAGGCAAGGGAAGGGGGTAGAAGAGCGAAGCCGCCACACAAAGGCCGCGGACCCCTCGGCTCCCACGCCCCCCGCCCGCCGCACGTTCAGAGACCCTTTCCGGCCCTGAGTTAAACCTGGATTTTTTTCAAAATCCGCGCTGTGCATAGCACAGTTGGGCGCCAAGGACGCCTTCTCGCCCGTCCCATTTCATGAGAAACTTGGCTCAAGAGGGAGAAAGAGCCCTCAGTCTGATCTTCAGGCTTGCGCACCCCTCCGCCTCTCCAGCCAGCCCAGCGCCCGCTCGCCCTCCCGCCCGGGGACTCACCGTTACACCACTGGAATGGGTGCATCAATGACCTCTCGGCTGGCTTCCTCGGGCGAACGAACGCAGGCAGCGGGTAAGGCGGGCGGGGTGGGCACCGGCTTGTGGGTCCGCGGCAACCGCCTTTCTCGAGAAGTCGAACTCCCTCCGGAGTGCGGGGCTTCGGCAAGACCGGTTTTAGAGCAACAAAGAGGAAAGAGGAGAAAACAAACAAACAAACCCAAAGTCCCCCTGATCAAAGCAGCACAGAGGAAATGCAGGAGAGACCCCGGGGCTGGGGGAGATGCGGGGCGCCCACAAGCTTTCGCCCCGCGGAGGAGGGAAAAGCCTTGGCGGGCGGCTCCGCTCAGGTCCCAGGGCGCGAAGGTGCGCGGCAGAAGACTCCGAAACTGACACGAGCCGCGCACACCCCCTCCCCGAGAGTCCCCCCTGGCCCCGGGAAACTCCGCCCCTGCCCGTCACCCGCCCTCTGGCCAATGGGAGCCTTCCTCCTGGCCCCGGGTATTATTTGCAGATCCGCCCCCCTACAGAGGGGGAGCGTCTTTGCTCCGGGGCGCCTCCCTCTTCACCTTCCCAGTCCTCGGGAAACTTAAGTCCGCCCAGGAGCGCGCTGTGCCGGGCGATGGCCGGAGCAGGCGGGGGCCAGCCTCCTCCGCCCAAGACCTGGAGGACGCCGAACAATTAGTGCCACATTGTTTTCCTCCTCCAGATCTTTGACTGCTTAGCATTTCTATAGCTCTTTGAGAAGCCAGTTCTGGGGAGGCGTTCCATTTCTGCTCGGTGGGCAAGGACTTGGTCCTGGGTGGCGGCTAGCACGTGCCTTTGCTCTGTGCGAAAGGGGAAACTGAAGCAAGACGGTAGAGCAGATGAATTACAAAAGTGAGATCTGGCCAGCCCCTCATTTCACAGACAAGGAACTAAGGTCTGACGCTTCAGCTTAAGGTTGACTTGTCAGGCCTCCACGCTCCTGACTAGCAGAATCAAACCCAGAAATCGATACTGGCACCACCTTTAGAGCAGTATCTTCGGCATCTAGCACCGCGAAGGTGTTGAATAGATAGTAGTTGGAAGAAAGACTGAATCTCTTAATTACCCGTCCAAAATGCTTTCTTTTACCTGACGTTGCATCGTTTCCTTATTTCTTTTTCTTTTTGTCTGTTTTTCTGTGTTTCATTTATTAGAATACATTCCCCGCGAGCCTGCTTTGTGTCAAGTACCGTTGCACCGGAGACCCATAAACGTCTCGGAGTCAGCAGTTTCTACTCTCCTGGGGTTTACATTGTGTGAGGAGACAGTAATCAAGCAAGCAAACGAATAAGAATGACTCAGTCTAATCTTCCTGTTAAACTTAACCTGTTAGTTGAAGGTGATAAATACTTTCCCTAACTCTTAAATAAGATTATGCATATGAGTGCTTTGTCACTTAAAAGCGTGATGGTTAAGGCATCAGGTGACTTGCCCAACATCACATAGCAGTCTGCAACAAATTGTTTAGCATTTCATTATGTAATTGTCTTAAAACCATTGTTTTTCTTAGTGAGCTAGTCTGAAAGGGCATCTTGTACAGATCCAACTCATTTCATCTCCTAAGTGGATGATTGCAAAACCTCTTAGGTGGAAGACTGCAAAAGCTTCCTAAGTGGCCTTTCTGATTTTAATCCATGTCTCAGACCTTAGAGTCCACGAGAATGACTGTTATGTTAGAGGTGTTACATATGCAAATTCAAGGCCTGGAGCTTAGAGATTCAGATTCAGTATTAAAGGTGAGGCCCAGAAATGTTCATTGAACATGGCTTGTCCCCCAAAATTCTCAGGCAGTTATGCTGAGAGGAATAATGCTCTGATCTTCCTCTCAAGTCCGTCCTCTCTGCTGGCTCCAGACTTATGTTTCTAAAACATCAATTTGATCATTTATTTCCCTTGCTTAATAACTATTGGTCCCTGGTGTTTACAGGGTAAAGTGAAACTCTAGATTGTGGTGTTCAAATCGTTCCAGTCTGGCCTCGGCCTGTTTTCTAACACCAGTGCACTCTTCTACCCTACACGCTGTTCATCAGCTATGAAGCTTCTGCTATTGTTTCTTGAACACAGTATATTCCCTCTGGACTGTGATTTTGTACGTAGTATTTCTTATGTTTGGAATGCCCTATTTACTTTCTGTGCCTGACATTTGGTAAGATTCGCCTAAAAATTCACCTCTTCTGAGGCTCACCATTGTCATCTTTTCCCTCTCTGCATCTCTTTCAACGTGTTGCATGTACAGTGTAGTGTGCTGTGGGATGATAAAGATAATTATGTGATTTCCTGAATTTGATCCCTTCATGAGCCCTCCTCTTAAGTGATTTTTCAAGAGTATGAACCACTTTTGTGGTGGTTCCAGGGTCTGGTTCATTAAGTATTTTTGGAATGGATGTATGTACATGCCTGTGTATAAATTACCATACAATTGAAGCCATGTTCTAAGTACAGGGTAGAGGATTAAAAAATATGTATAATTATTACTTAGCCAATAGTTCTTTCTATTCATTGGCTCAGGGGAGAGGTGTTGATAGGTGAGCCTAATTGCATTATGGAGTTCCTGCTAGGGACCTGCAGGGCACAACTGCGAAAGAGGGAGAGCCTTTGACGGGAACATTGACAGGAAATGAGGAATACCTCTTCCCTCACCCCTGTACTTAGACTAAGGACCCCAGGTGTGAAGACACCTTGAAGGTAGGAACAATGAAAGTTCTCATGGAGATAGAGCTGATCAATTAGGACACTGAATATCTCGAGTGGCACCTACCTGGACCATGAGGACAGTCATTAGACAGAATGTTCTATAACAATTTATGGGTTTGTTTTTTTTTTTCTGCTTTATCTCCCCAAATCCCCCCTGGTACATAGTTGTATATCTTAGTTGCATGTCCTTCTAGTTGTGGGATGTGGGACGCCGCCTCAATGTGGCCTGACGAGCGGTGCTGTGTCCGCGCCCAGGATCTGAACCAGCGAAACCCTGGGCCACCGCAGCAGAGCGTGCAAACTTAACCACTCGGCCACAGGGCCGGCCCACAATTTATGTTTTAAGCCCGACATTTTAAGCATTCAGTAGGGTCTCCTGAGGCACTGAAGGACTCTAATTTGGAAAACCCAACGCATCCCTTCCCAATCTCGCACCTTCATCCCTCTTGGCCGTTGTGGCCATAGGGCAGCCCCCGAGAAGACAGCTGAGTTTGGGAGGTAGAGTTTGAAGGACATTGGTCTTGGGCATCCCTGAAAAGGTTCATTCAATCCCAGCATTTTCCTAGGCTGAAGGTGCTATCAAAGACAAGCTGATTTCTCACATTATGTCAATACAGTTCAGATAACTCAACTCCCCCGCCAGTGACATGATGGTTCATACCGCCAGCTTCTTGCTTCCTATGAGTCAGGAAAACAAGTCTGGTTATTTTACTGAGGAAGAAACTGAAACACTAGAGAAATACATTCAAAGCCGCTTGAGAAATCTGAAATAGAATTACGTTCCTACGTCTCCCATGGAAAGAGGGAAAGGTAATACGAGGCATCCAGAAAAACTTCTTGGGAGTCAGGGATTCTCTTTATTTCCACTGCCCCACCCTAACATCCTCTAGTCCACCCCCTGAGCCCCCTCATTTTATGGCTTGCAAACACTAGAGAAACACTTCGGGGAGAGACAGCTAATTCAGTGGAGGAGCGTGGAGCCAGAAGCCTTCATCACCTCATTTCACCTTTAGTAAGAGACTCCCTCTTCCCTGGGCCCCAAAATCCTGCCCTAAAATAGGGAAGAGAATGTTATTTCTCTTGTTGTGACATTTCCCCCAACTTTCATTTCTTAAGAAAAGAGTTTTTATGAGAGGAACATGCAATTCTTTGAAAGGGTTGAAAGTTGTTCACAGTATATTTGGGCAAATGAGGCCCTTCACTCATTTTAAAATTCTTAAAAGATTTGGCCTTCCTCTCACCATATACCATGGAGGTCTCAGTACCAGGATGCTTTTAGGGAATTGATGTAACTCTTTGCCAAGGGTGTTGTTCATTATTTGCCCAGCAAGGCCCCCAGGTTCTGGTCTGTGTTCTCTAAGAAAGAGAGGTAGCAATTTCCCCACTCCCTACCCTAGCTCCCAACCCACATGGGAAGTCCAATAGGAGAAAAAGGCATTGGTGTGACTCGGAGGCAAATCTTTCTCTCTTGCTCCAGAGGTTGGGTCAGTTCTGGGATAATGTCTGGGGCTTTTCCCTGAGTATCTCTTAAGCATCCCCTGATGCTCTCTAAGTATGGGGAACCTGGAAAGAAACAGAGGCTATGGGGTTCAGGCTAACCTAGTTCTCAGGAATTCTTCACAGTCCTGCCGTGTCTTTGGATTTCTGGAATGAAACCAATCCTCAAGGCTGGAGCTGAATGGTTTCATTTATGAGAGTGGAGATTCAAGAAAAAAGCAGAGGAGGGGAGAGAACCGTCTTTTACTGACTGCCCACTGCAGGCCACGCCCTGTGCTCAGCACGTCCCATATTTTCATTTATCCCTCACCATAACCCTTCAGGTGTTATTATTTTCTACTTTCCTGTGTGATAAAATGGAAGCCCAAGAAGTTTAGGTCTTCCCCAGAATCACGTAGCTCTTTAAGTGTTGGTGACAGAATTTCAACCAAACTTGGTCTCTTTCCACAAAACATGCTCCCGCTGTAGAGTCTGGCATGGTAATAACAATGTTAAACCTTAGTTTTGCCACCTGGAAAATTAGGGCTTGTACCAATAAATGTTAGTTATAGTTGTCGTTGAACTACATCATGAAGTGTCATGGCTCATGACATGGAGCACAGGACTAGGAGCCAGTAGATCTAATGTATTAATTAGGATACAAGCTAAGCCACCATGGTGGTTTTGGGAACATGCCTACAAGTTCTTTGATATTCCCCCTTCAAGGGGTGAAGCCTAGTTCCCATTCCCTTAAGACTGGGTTGGACTTTCAGACTCCTAACAAATAGAATGGGAGGTGACGGTGCTTGACTCTGAAGACTGGGTCACAAAAATGTCCTGCGGTTTCCTTCTCTCTCTCTCAGATCACTTGCTCTAGGGAAGCCAGGAGTTTTGTGACAAAGACACTCACCTTTGGAGAAGCTCGGAAGTGGGTATTTCAGCCTTAGTCATGCTTCAGTGACGAGGCCCTCCCAGCACCCTGGCCGCAACCTCATGAGACCCTGAGACAAAACCACACAGTTAAGCTGCCCCTGAATTCCTGACCCACAGAAACTTGGAGACAATAGATGTTTATTGTTTTAAACCACTGAGTTTTGGGATAATTTGTTATTTAGCAATAGATAAATAATACCGCCACTGCACAAACAGACATAAAAATACAGAGCCTCAGACAATTGAGTTTATTTCTGT